TAGGTTTCTGACACAGAATGAATGTGGTCTAAGAACTTAATTTTTTTTTAATTTACCTATTATGGTCCAATATCCAAAATCTAAATACATGGTTAGATTCGGCATATCAAAGAATCCAAAGAATTTAATTTTTGATGAAATCAAACAAAGTTTAATTTTGGACCCTTTTGACCTCAATGTGGACCAATTTGATAACGGGCCCAAAAATCAAAATACATGGTTAGATTCAGCATATCAAAGAACCCCATATATTCAATTTTTGTTGAAATCAAACAAAAAGTTTAATTTTGGACCCAATCTTGGACCAACTGGAAAACTGGACCCATTTTCAAAAATCTAAACACATGTTTAGATTCAGCATATCAAAGAACCCCAAGAATTCAATTTTTGTTAAAATCAAACTAAGTTTAATTTTGGACCCTTTGGACCTTAATGTAGACCAATTTAAAAAACGGGACCCAAAACTAAAAATTGAAATACACGGTTAGATTTGGCATATCAAAGAACCCCAATAATTCAATTTTTGATGAAAATAAAACAAAGTTTAATTTTGGACCCTTTTGACCTCAATATGAACCAATTTGATAGCGGGGCCCACAAATAAAAAATCTAAATACATGGTTAGATTCAGCATATCAAAGAACCCCATATATTCAATTTTTGTTGAAATCAAACAAAGTTTAATTTTGGACCCCGATTTGGACCAACTTGAAAACTGGGCCCATAATCAAAAATCTAAATACATGTTTAGATTCAGCATATCAAAGAACCCTAAGAATTCAATTTTTGTTAAAATCAAACTAAGTTTAATTTTGGACCCTTTGGACCTTAATGTAGACCAATTTGAAAACGGAACCAAAAAATTAAGAATCTAAATACACGGTTAGATTCGGCATATCAAAGAACCCCAATAATTCAATTTTTGATGAAATCAAACAAAGTTTAATTTTGGACCCTTTTGACCTCAATGTGGACAAAGTTGATAACGGGGCCCAAAAATCAAAAATCTAAATACATGGTTAGATTCAGCATATCAAAGAACCCCATATATTCAATTTTTTTTTAATCAAACAAAGTTTAATTTTGGACCCAAATTTGGACCAACTTGAAAACTGGGCCCAAAATAAAAAATCTAAATACATTTTAAGATTCAGCATATCAAAGAACCCCATATATTCAATTTTTTTTAAATCAAACTAAGTTTAATTTTGGACCCTTTGGACCTTAATGTAGACCAATTTGAAAACTGGACCCAAAATTAAAATTTCTAAATACACGGTCAGATTTGGCATAACAAATAAATAAATGTGGTCAAAGATTTTACAAATCTAATGCGCCATACTGTGCAATTAAAGATTACTTCTTCAAATTTTTCAATATTTGAAATTTGAAAAAATATAATATTTGAAGAATAATTCTTTTTAATTTCTGAAAACTGAAATGAGAAAAAATTTACCCCCCACAATTTCTTTTTACACCCCTCAATTCTTTCCCTCAAGATATGGTCATAATCTCAATTCAAATTTCCAATGGAATTTGCAACCATAATTACCCATTTAAATTTACCATAGTGCTAACTTAATTTATTTTATAATAGAATTTAAAATATGGTGTCAAATCTTTCATATGGATTTTTTTGTAAAAAAAAAAAGATGCAACATTTGCAGATACTTTTACTGGTCTTCCTTTATAAATATGCATTTCTTTAAACATAATTTAAAAGCAGTGTAAGGGAAGTAATCAAAGCTTTGTATGTGGATTACCTCCCTTACACTGTTTTAAATTGTCTTAATTGTTCATTAACCATTACTTTATACATAGTTTAAAAGCAGTGTAAGGGAGGTAATTTAAATGATGTATTTTATTTATCTCCCTTACACTGCTTTAAATTATGTTTTGTACTAAAGTATTTGTCCATATAAAAATGCTTGTTTTTTTCCCCTTTTATGGCCCCTAATTCCTAAAATTTTGAGGCAATTACCCCCACAATCAATCCCAGCATTCCCTTTGTGATATGGAACCTTGTGGTACAATGTCAGAGAGATCCATACACTAATACACAAGTTATGTCTGGAAGTTACAAAAATGCTTATTTTTGGCCCCTAATTCCTTAACTGTTGGTACCATAACCCCCAAAATCAATCCCAACCTTTCTTTTGTGGTATTTAAGCTTATGTTAAAATTTCATAGAGATCCATTCACTTAAACTAAAGTTAGAGTGTGAAAACCAGTGTGTCTTCGGACGACGCCGCCAACGTCATACCAATATACGATTGCAAAAATTTTTTTGCGGTCGTATAAAAATTGATAATAATCATCACTCTGGGGAACACTACACTTGACAAAAATGCAAAATATGGATAAATATATATCATATAGTATAGTTTCTGAAATAATACAAAAAATAGGTAAACAACTTTTAAGGGCAATAACTCCTATGTCCTTTTTCTGTAAATTTCATAGGAGATAGACCTTGACCTACTAAATCATATTTTACCCCATGTCAGTTTTGCTATAACTGCTTTAGTTTTATAAGCCCAAAACTGCATTTTCCCCCGATGTGTTATTTTTTAGCAACAGTTGTTAATCGATTAAAACAGATAATTTTTTTTTAAACTTAGGAACATTCAGGTAAATTTGGGTAACATGTGGCGAAGATTTTTTCTTTAAAGTTTACGATGGATGATGACAAAAGTTCACATGGCCTTTCAGGTGACTGCAGTCTTCACAATGAACTTTAAAATCTTCAGGCCCAGAGCTCAACTTTTGAAAAATTTTAGTTAGATTCTGTTGGCCTAGCTGTAGATATGATTTTTACAGGCCCGACAACAATTTTACAAGCCTGGGCTGCTGGCCCTGTGGTTCAGCGTGAAGACTAGGTGAGTCAATAACAGTTCAAGAGTTGCAAATATATCAATTTTATAAAAGAAGGTCAAAATCTAGTTTTGAACTATCTGTTATGTGTTAATAGTATCATATATGAGGATAAGAATGCCTTTTACTGTCAGGCGTCAATTGGTCATTTTCAGCTACCGTTAGCGTCAAATTGGTAAAAATTTTATCATGATTCGTCAAAATATCTTTATCGTGATTCGTCAAAGGTCTCAAATAATTATCCGTTACCGTTATTTTTGGAAAAAATTTAATGTGATTTGTCAAAATCAGTCAATTGTTTTATTGTCATAAAGAACATACATTTTATAGTCATGCTCCAAAAATTACCGTTAACTTCATTTGGCAAGATTTTTTACCGTTATTAGTCATGAAGGTACCCCCTCTACAACCCTCATATATGGTCTCATTTTCTAATGCTGTGACAATAAGGTTTATTGAGTATAAGTGTCAGAGTGCGTGTTGAATGCATATTTTTCACTTTTGGGCTCATTACACATAGAATTAATCTTTCATCAGATGATAAGTCCTACATTTGTACATTAGTTTATACAAATGTACATCTGTTCTATTCAACATATGAATACAGATTACAGTCATGGTTTCCGATCCCAGCTATGTATAAATAATGGTGCTCACAAAAATTGAGATACATGTACCGTCTATACAGGTAAACAATTCTAATCTCAAGAAATGGAATAGGAAAAGAATGCTTAAACTACTTAAAACGTGCCAACTATTAACTCTTCAGAAATTGTCTAATTTTTGTTTATTTGCAAAAATATGCAAATGACTATACCCTGCTTCTGATGCTTTTTAATGACAATAAAGCTAAGATAGGTGATCACGGGTGGGATAGTTAAAGTGTGGAGCTGGAAGGGTGGGGTGCTGGCCCAAAGTTAGTCATCTGGTGCAAAAATCATGAACTTTTAATACTATTTCTTGACCGGAAGACTGAGGGATGCTGATAGATGAACCTCACTGTTATCTGCATGTAGAATGAACCCCAGTGAACACATAAGCCACAAAAGTGCTTAGGTTTTGTGAAACTGATCTTGGTACGGCAGTCTAAAGAAGGTCATTTCCTACAAAAATCTAATTTTTCGCTACACTTGACCTGCAACCAGAAGTAGTTGTTCCCTTTTAAGCATATTTCAATAACAAACACGATCAGTAGTCTTATGCCCACTGGTTTACACTATTTCTGAAAGTTTTAGGCCTCTGTACTTTGTGAGCCAGACACTGAACTTAGTGAAAGGAGCCCACCGGTGACCCCTCCAGAAAAACCAGTTTTATCAGATTTCAATCTTCCAAGTTTGTATTTGGGCTTTAACTGCACCTTAAACCTGAGAAACATGACAATAAATAGTCTTTGATTGAGGTAACATGCATTAATTTTAAAATATGAATCATACAGTTGACCCTTTATGTGTATGGAGAGCCATTGGAGCCAAAAACTGGTATTTTGGTTAAAGGCCATAATCATGATAATATTACAGCCCCTCACTGTATGGGTTATTTAAAGATATTTCATTTACGGTTTCATGAAGTACATGTACATTTGTAGCAAATTCACATAGCGAAAATCAGAATCGTTTGTTTTTTGCAAGAAGACCAATCGGAAACCATAAAGAATATTCACTGCGAATTTAACATTGTCATTTTGCTGTGAGAACACTAAATAATTTTCAGATAACCTTCTTGGAAAGCCTGCAAAACTTATTCTGACAACATAAATAAGCATGTCATAAATCATTTTGTAGACAATTCAATATGACAATGTAGATCTTGGACACGACAAGTTTCAGTAAGACACTTAGACAGACAACTGCAGATTCGAAATATAATGAAACTTCACACAACAGAGTGTCATTTCATACAAATGGGTTGGGTACCTTGTGTTATATCAAGGTATTCTTGAGGGAAAAATTTCAAAGACAAGTGCCTGTGACTGAAATCTTACAGCAGTTGGCTTTGTAAATTAAAGACAGAGTTGACAGGAGCAGTTAAGCAAAGAAAAAAACACTAGCTTCCTTTCACAAATTTTAAAGGGGTAGTAACGTAGTCAATATTTTATCAGAGATATTTTCGATATCACAATCACCTACCGAACACAAATATTAATCTGGGATTTGAATCCTTCAGCTTAACATTTTCTCCTATATCCAAATTGACCACAGGTTTTGCAAAGATTGAAGTACGTCGATGTCCATGCTCAGCCTTTGGGCTATCTGTACTCCCGCCACATCCCATGTCAGTCCGATGTATTATGTATCATTTCCTTTCTGTATATTATTGCAATCAAAATTATATATCTTGTCACTTGCGTCGACTGCTAGGGTATAATGTCAATGCGCAATCATTTTACGCATTTTCCGTTGGGAATCTGGATGATTTCGCCCTTTTTAAAACTCGCCCCTATACTTACTGCATTCCTGAAATCGACAACCTTTTCTTTTGATGTTTGTTGCCAATGACGTCGTTTCTGCTATTTTTTTTTAGCTTATTGAACTAAAATTACCAATTTCAATTTGCTCGACAACAATTGAAAATTGGGTTTCAGTCAATAAATGCTACCGAAATCTATTTAGATAAAAAAGAAACTAGTGATAAAATTTGTCAACTTCATATATAACATATAAATAACTAAATAAGCTTTATTTAGAGTCGGCATATTTACAAACAAGGACATAACATAAGCTTCAATGAGCTTTTAACCGACACACAAGACATAACAACCCAGCAAACACAGTGACACAACGTAAACATAACGTTGGTAACGTTATATTTACGTTACGTTTACCGTAACATTAGGAAAACGTTAAAATAGATATAGAATAACCATACATTGTCTCGAAATATAAATTTTATTTGTACAAGGCTTAGAAACAGATAGAATGCTAGGAATTGCCGAGCATTTCTATCCTGTTTTGAGCCGAGTACAAATAAAATTTATATTTCGAGACAATGTATGATTGTCCTTTATCAGTGGCGGATTTACCGGGGCACAAGGGGCACGTACCCCCCCCCCCCCCCAAAAAAAACCCCAACCCCCCCAAATCGGGGTTACCAAAAATTTTCTTACATAATTTTATTGCTACTGATTCTGCTTATCTAGATCGGAAATTAAGTCACAGCTTGATTTGACTTCCTAAACTGGCCGTTAATTACCCCCAGCTTCCATATTTGCGTGATTTATCACAACTTATCGATGGGTGTGTAAATATTGACACGTACCTATGTGTAATGGCTATACTCAAAAGCATTTATGTAAACTACATGTACATGCTGATTGGAATACGAATATTACAGGATTAAGATTGAGAGTGAAAAGTTAAATCATCTGATCAGGAAATAAATTACCAACTAAAATCGGAAGAAATATTAATATAAATAGATGTTTAGTATCACAAATGTTGGTATCGATTTGAGAAATGTCGTTATTACCAAACACTCACATTGTAAACGTTTTATTGGGAATATATCTTTCTTGGAACAGTCAATCTTTATCGAACTTTATTAAAAAACAAACGACTTCATGAACAGTTGTTTTTAAAACAGAATGTCGTGTTTCTTTTCCCTTATTTTCAATGGAAACCAACAATTTGTTTTAAAAACCTTCCTCACTCCACAACACATTGAATGCGGGTCAGTGCCTTATATATAATCATAAATAAAATGCTATTGTGTTTTTGCATGACCTTCTTTATGACATAATACAGTAATATATGTATATTTTTCTAGTCAGGCCCAATTATATTTATGAAGATATGAATGGGTTACCGTTAATGGGGGTATAAATGATGTTTACAGATTAGAGAATAATGGTCAAAAATGTAAAGATAAGAAAACAATGGGCCCCAAAAATATAGAAAACATATTAAAGATGTGATGAAGTATAAAGAATAGAGAACAACTGACATACACACGTATAAAAATTGCGGTTTTTATCTAACGCAATCATAGGTTTGAACGTTGTTTTCAATTAAGACTTTTTTTTATATTTTTTCGTTTGGGCTTGTATTATATTTGCCTTCGGGTTTATATGATCCGTTCATCCTATTTCGACTCTTCAAAATTCAAGAGTCTATCCTAAATTGAGATAAATTATATAGCCTTCCAAATACCGTTTCGATTCCTAACATCACTGAAGAGACATTAATTGTCGAAATCCGGATATGGTGTACTAATTTTTGCACCTTTTGTTTGCGGTATACCTTCTTTTCCGCAAGTTTATTGTTAAACTTTTCTGTTTGGTATTAAATTAATAATTAAGATCCATTTTGTTACATCTGGTGATCCGTTTATTTGGCAATCGCAATTGGCAGTCAGCAGGGTTCAAGAACACCCGTTGTTCGACCTGTTAGACAAATGCGTTTTGTTAAAATATATATTTTCACTTTTTTTGTCTTTTGGAAGAAGTTGTTTGTGCTGTATTTAGACCCCTGTGCCAAGAAATATGTTTTGCATGCACACGTATAAAAATTGCGGTTTTTATCCAACGCAATCATAGGTTTGAACGTTGTTTTCAATTTAGACTTGTTTATATTTTTTCGTTTGGGCTTGTATTATATTTTCCTTCGGGTTTATATGATCCGTTCATCCTATTTCGACTCTTCAAAATTCAAGAGTCTATCCTAAATTGAGGTAAATTATATGGCCTTCCATATACCATTTCGATTTTTAACATCACTGAAGAGACATTAATTGTCGAAATCCGGATATGGTGTACCAATGTTTGCACCTTTTGTTTGCGGTATACCATCTTTTCCGCAAGTTTATTGTTTTCTGTTTGGTATTAGACTAATAATTAAGATCCATTTTGTTACATCTGGTGATCCATTTATTTGGCAATCGCCAATGGCAGTCAGCAGGGTTTAAGAACATCCGTTGTTCGACCTGTTCGTCAAATGCGTTTTGTTAAAATATAATTTTTCACTTTTTTTGTCTTTTGGAAAAAATATATATATTATATATATATATATATTTATTCAAGATAAAAGGCATGAAATTGACAGACACATTACAGTAAAATGACAAACAAATATAGCACTAGACATGAATAGGATTTTACAGCAACAGACACTTAAATGAATTACAATTATGATCACTACACATAATAATTCAAAAGATAAAATTATGGAAATTTTCATTATATATAATTTCAATTTTTGTGGAAATAAATGGACTAAGTTACCACTGCAAACTAATACCTTCGGATGACACACAAAAGTTAATGAAATTTATTTCCAATGGGGTCCTTCTCATTTTATGCTTTTGCATCAAAGGCAGTTGTCTCTGGTTTTTGTTTTACCTATATGCTTTAATCAGAGACATATAATACATAATATATTAAAGTACATTGGTAAAAAAATCCGAGACAACTGCCTGTGTTTTGCATCTCAGTATATTGACGTTAAAAGTTTTTAGAAATAAGTATGTGCTACATACTTTTTTTTAACATAGCATAAACACAATTTCTTACTGAAACATACAAAGGAAAGAAAACGGACAACGATTCACTGGTGATATTAATTGAGTTTCTACCTCATATTTGTCTTTTGTCATGTTTGTGTTTTAAAAATAATCTGCCAAATCTTGGAGAATGCTCTCATTAATTTATAAGGATCATTTAATATAGTGACAATGTCTTGTGTAACCGCGCCGCGATTTAAGAGACATATACTATACATATATTTAATTTTATATACGTCTCTGCCGATTTATGATTGGAATAATAAATATTTGATTTGATTTGATTTGATTTATAGTAAAGGACGGATATATATGTGGTATGAGTTCCAATGAGACAGCTATCAATCAAAGTCCAAATTACCTAGATGTAAGCAAATATAAATCACCGTAATAATAAATTTCTTGAATTATGAATTTGTGGGCGCTAAAACCTCTATAATTATCAGGATTACACACATCGCCACTTCTAAAAATTGGACAAACTCTTGTAGTCTTACTATAGGTGACAAGGGAATTGCCACCCTGATTTCATACCATGATTAAATAAATATTTAAAAGGTGGTGTAGTTATGTCGCTGCGGATGCTGCAAAACATTTGGTCAAGCAACTTCATAACGAGTTACTTTAGACTTATTAAAGTTTTTTAAAGACCAAACAGCCTATTGTTGATGCGCATCAACTAACGCAACTTGGTAGTGACATAAAAGCTCTATGACGTTGTTTTTAGCCATGAAAGAAAAACGTCAAATTATAACGTCCTATTTCGCGTTTTTCACGGATTCCAACATAGTGTACGCTTAAAACTACGTCTTCCAAGAAAAGTGGAATTAAGCGTCGCACTGATATCTAGTGGAAATTAAACACAAATGGACACAAAAGATACTACACTATCTGTAACCTCCGTTCTAATAAAAATAATAATAAAAATATAAATTTTGAACTCGGCTTTTTGCATTTGCGCCGATCTGCATTTCACTTTTTTTCCTTCACTTGCACCGATTTTGTCTTTCATTTGCGCCGATTGTGTACAGGTAAATTATAGGTGAAAGTTATTTTTTTATTTATCATATAAACCTCTTCCGTTAGCCAGTTGTACATATGTTATGAATTGTCAATTATAACATGTATATAACTGTTGTCCCCTGCTCACAAAGGGGAGGTGGGAGTAGAATTTCGAGCAAGATAGGTCAATTTAAAAGATATTTGTGCACTCTGTTTACATCCACTAAAAGCACGGAGTAAAACTCTATTTACAGCATTTCAAAGCACCACAATAAAATCCATAAAAATGTAATACTAGTACAAATGAATTATTATCTTGCCGAGAATTTATATGCCACACATCTGATATATTCCTTTCTTGTCATTTTATCTTTTCTATACTTGTTGTACTTGCCAATAACGAAGTCCATCTTTTCTTTCTCGTGTCAAAACGAAGTTCTCGAACAATATGACCAAAATTATCTTAAACATAAGGGAACACTATTTATATCCATATATTACCATGCAATATACATTCTAGGTTTACTACATGTACATGTATTTACTCGTATAGCAAATAAAGTATCGGGGCTAGTGATAAAAAAATAAAATAGGCACTAATGAAAGAATCAAATCGGCGCAAATTAAAGATCGAAAATTTTTTTTAAATCGACGCAAATCTCGTACGCCCGTGTAACTTTACACTGGTAAATTTTTATGACTTACGCTTAGAGTTTTAACTTAATATGTGATTTTCAAAACTGAGTTTTCAGAAGGTTAGGCCGATAAACAATACTTTCTAGAAGTTTCGATATACTGGCAACGTATGCAGGTTGAGATTAACTTACTTCTTTAAGATTCTCGTAAAATAATGGTGATCTTGCAATGAAGT